TGTCAGTAAATTCATAAATGCACTTTGTTTAGCCCTTGATTTAGATGTCTGGCCCTTTATTCTAGGTGCCCAAATCTCCACTTGCATTTTTCTTGTATCAGCAATGAGGACTATAAGTGTCACAGGGAATCCTGGGGAGAAGGCAGTACCTCAAAGGCAGCTGCAGAGGAGTAGTGCCTGGAAAGCTGGCCTCAGAGTCTAAAGAAGGATGGGGAGGAAAAAGGGATGTATACATGTGTGTGCCCCCATGAACCTGTTTCTAGCCACTAGGGAGAATAAGGAGCAAAATCTGTAGCTGAAGGAATCTGTAAGGTTTTCATGTCTCTCATAAATTGGTGAGTATTCATTGTGTGAGCTGGCATCAAAGTTCTGAGGCAGTTCCCTAAGGACTGGCAGAAGTGCCTGAGCGTGCCGGTTGCTCCCTGAGCATGCTGCTCTGTCTCTCCTCATACCTGTCATGGACACAGAGCCGGTCTCTGCTGCGTGGTAATGCTGCTTACTGGAAAGATTATGAAAGTCATAAAAATGTCAGCTTCTGTATTTCAGTTGTGTAAACTACACATGCACAGCGCTCTCCTCGCATCCCGTACAACCAGCAAGGGTTGCCCTTGGCTTTCTGCTTGAATAACAACAGGGACATCTCCCACCATCCTGATGAGGCTCTGTGGTTCAGCCATCTCCCCAGCATTGCTGCCCTCACATGATTCTGGATGAAGCTGAGCTCAAGGGGGTTTTGGGGCATGAGGACATGGCCAGATGCACCATTGCCATCAATTTAAAATAGGATGTGATGGGAAACTTTGGCTGGAGGTTTTAATACTGCTGGTGTGGCTGCATGAAATGTGTGTCCCTACCTATTGTTACTTGTGCAGAAAAGACTGGGCATTTCAGGAGGCTTCCTATAACAATATTAGAACTGTCGTTTTAAAAGACGGCCACTTAAAATGGATTATTAAAGCAATGAGTAGATGCTGGTACTAAATCCCTCAGTTTAGGGGGCGAATTTTGGCAGCTGCTCATCAAAAGAGAATCTCCACACTTTGGGTCTTGAAGGGAGCTAATAAAAAAGAGGAGACAGATGAATACTGCGGAGCATGGAGCTGTGTGTTACTGTGGGCACCAAGCCTATCAAACCTCTAGGTTTAGCACCCTTACTTAGCAAAACCAGAAGTGTTTAAGCGGATACCTACTGGCTTTTTGGGCTAGGCACAGCTGCTGTGGGGGTCACACAGAGGCTATGCAGCTGCTTTACCTGTTATGTATATCTGCATCAGGTAAGTCTCACAGCAAATGCCCATGCCTTCATCACCCAAAGCTCTGTTTCAAGCAGACTCAGAGGATTTAGACACATGCATTAAGTGCTGTGCAAGAGGTCAGGTCTTTGGAGCCGGAGTCACGTTCTGTTAGACTCCATTTGAGCCTCTCCACTGATTCCAGGGCTTTGTATTGGTCCCTTACCTGTGATTAAAAGTCTTTTTAAAGTGGAACTTGGCATGAAAACCAGGTGTGAGTGTTACATTCCTGGCATGGAGCCATTGCAAACCCTGGTGTCCAAAGGTTGGTGGCCTTAGGTTCTGCACTACTCTGCCTATTGTTAGAGCAATGTCCTTCTGTTAGACTGGGGTATTTTTTGCTGTTTGCAAAAGTGGCTGCCTTTGCTGCACACATGGAAGTTTTAATAATTATTCCCAAGCAGCTCTGAGAGTTTTTTAACATGGAAACAAGTTCTACATTACTCGTTAAATTGGTCAAATTTCAATAAAGTCAGGAAAACATCTTGAAAACAGCATGAATATAATTTACAAAGAAAACAATCCAAGCGTTACTGCCAAAGAGTTTTCCAACAGGAAGGAAGAAAGAATTTCTCTTTCCCCCCACATAGAATGACTGTACTGTACATTAAATTAGTGGTTTTTAGTGTGAAGGAAGCAACCACAGGATCCATAATGTTAATAAGAGTGAAGCTGGTACCTGTTGTGAAGATAGGTCATGCTTCTTTATTACCTTCCTAGGTAGGTTGCGTGAATCCTGGCTACCAATATTCATTTTCCTGTAAGTAGCTCTATATCAGCCTCTTTATCCTAGATGAGATCTTGCTTGCCATGTTTTTAAATCTAGCAGGAAAACTCCACACAAGGGGTGAAGTTTGGCAGAGAGGGTCTGGATTCTCAGCAAACATGGAAGTGAATGTGATGCTTTTTTTCCCCTTAATATCAGATTGTCTTGTGATCAATCTGCTGAACCAGAGCCTTCATGAACCAAGTGCAAAACCGTGGGCTGATCTGCCCAGTGCAAACCTCCCGGGATTCCTCAGGACCATCACTGTGCTGTAAGGCAGTGCCTGAACCACTGTGTGGTAACCTTGCTTCAAGGGTCTCATTGCAGGTGGTGATTTTCCTACATGGAGTTCAAAGTAAAAAGATGGGGAGAATAGCAGAGCATTAACAGCAAATCTCATACTGGTTTCTTAATAAAATAGATTCAAATGTATACATGCCATGCTACATGTACAGGGCCATGTCAAGGGGTAGTTACAAGCAGACACTGACTGGAGGCATTATTACTGTAATTACTTGTACTATCAACTTCACTACCTGAAAGGGAAATATAAACCAGATCCAAACTTGCCTGATGATAGAACTAGATATAAAACTACAACTGTGTCTGGTGACCACATTTTGCAATTTTGAGATGTTTTTGCACTGACATGAGGAGTAATCTTTCCAAGGTTTTTGCAATATAATACTTAGACCTCAATATCAGGGTCTGGACTGGTTGCACATTTTCTCCTTCTTTTGTTGATTGGAATAAATCAGTCCACCCTGAACTTCACAAACCTTTCTGTTGAAATCTGAGGCAAAATCAAGATAACTCTTGAAAACTTTTTAGCTTTGGTAACAGGGTGAATTTTTGCTGCAAAGTAAAACCCCAACAAACCTTTTGGTAGAAGCAGTTCCAGTGCATTTTCTCTGTCAATTTGTACATGATCTTCCCCCAAGGCTCCTTTGCAAGCGATGCGAGCATAGGCGTGGGGTGGAGAGTGGCTATGCAAAACCCACAAACACGTTTTTGGAAGTGCTGCGTTTTGCAATGAGGCTGCTGCATGGCTTAGTTTGACACTTTCAGAAGGGTTGTGAGGTTTAATTAACTAAAGCACTTTATCACTATTAGAGAAATGGAGTTCTACAAGGTTATTAGTAGACTTTTTAAGGGCAACATCTGTATAGGAAAAATTAAAATCTCAAACTATGTTTCTTACCAATAACAGTGGAGGGAGAAACATGAAAAGGGCACAGCTACTAATTCAATTATTGTGCACTTCTCCCCTCCACCCTTCACTATTAAACAGCTGTGCTTCATCGCTGAGGCATATTTGTCTTTATCTTTGGCCACTTTGTCAGAGCTGGCAGAAGGAGTCTTAGGTGTGGTTGTTCTCTTAGCAAATTAAACAATGACCAAAACTTTGCTCATTTCTTCCATCATTATTTCAGATTTCCATGTTTTCATTTTGACTTTACAATATAGAAGCTGTATCTCCCTGCTCCTGAATATGGAGCAAGGGGTGGGGACAACTTGAGGGCTGGATGGCCTAAAAGGGTCTGCCTTTTTCATAAGACTGTTCAGGGATTGCTCTGTGCACTGTACCATCCACCTACACAGAAAGACAATATAGTAAAATGCTTTTGCATCATTTTAAGTGCATAAAAGTGCTCAGGTGTATAGGTTGTGCTTAGGCAGAGTGAGATGGATTTTATCTGAGCTAGGTGCCTGTAAGGGGTAGTAATTACTACCTGATATAAGCTATTTGAGATCCAAACAGTTCCAGTATTTTCTATCTCTTCATTTTTGTGCCTAATGACATATTAAATCCTCTGATGGTTAACAGACTATATAAATACCCAACCCACCTCCATCTTCTGCTGAGGCATAATACAATTAACAGGGAAAACCCAGGTACTTGCCTTTGCTAATATTTTAAGTCTCCTTCTGGCCAGTTTGGCAGACTCTTGTAAGAAATCTGTCTTTGAAGCTTGGGCTTGCATCTGGGCTTTATCCTTTGGTTGTGCCAGTCTCAGTGGAGAATGCAGGTGAGGTAGGAAGGAGCAGGACAGGTAAAAACAACACAGAAATGTCAGGAGTCTGAGTAGAATTCAAGGAATCAAAATGCTCAGATAGTGGGACCAGTGGGAGAAGGGGCTAGGATTAGAAAGTGGGACCCTGGCTGCCCTGTGTCTTTTGTATGGAAAATCTCAAGTCTTTTATATCCCTGGGACCTAGTGGTGATGGCTGCTTATCACTGTAACAGATTTCAGGGATGTCCCAGGAAGACCTTTCCATCTAATGTTTGACTGAGAAAACAAGAAGGCCAGGTTCATAAGTTTGAATAGATGCAGGTGCACATTCCCTGGTGTCAGTAGGCACGTTTGCACTGGGTCAGTTTGACTGGAGTGTGTGCTCTACACTTGTGGCATTGCTTTGTGGCTGCTGAGGTCTTGGGCTGAGGGAGCTTGATCACAGGGTGTCAGCCACAGCCTGGGTTTCCCTTTTGCTTTCCCTTGCAAAACTTCAAAACCAAATAAGCAAACCCCTCCTGGACAAGACAGGCCAAACCACCTGCAAACTGCTCCAAATTAAATAAATTTACTTGGAGTCTGGAAATATCCATGGTGTGCTGGGCAAGGCTTTCTGGGCTTAATGATCCTGACCAGCAGGTTTGCTGTGGTTTACAGCTGGAGAATACCTCAAAGGACTGGATCAGGACACACTGATGCTGCCTTCTTCCAACTGAAATCAATGTAAACCTGCTGGGAAAAGGCACTATCTCAGCTGCTGCCAGGCACATCCGTGTGAGTTATTTCCAGTTGTACATCCAGAGTTGAGTGTTGGCTTGGCAGTGAGGATGGCAACTGGTTTGGTGCTGTGAGACCTGCCCATCTCCAGTAGAAAATACAGTCAGTCAGTGCCTACCATCCTGAGGTAACTTACCCAGTAACACTTACCGGTGTCCCTTATCACCCTTCCTGCTGCTGTGCTGAAATGCTGGGTGAATGTTATGATGATCTTCTGGCAACCCCCGATGGAAGAAATAGAACGCCAGTTTAAAGTAAAAAGCAAAGGCTCAACGAGTCTATCATTATTAATCCTGCTGTCAGTTTTAATTTTGGGGACATTACCTCACTCAAGACTCGTTGCAGAGATACCTGCCAAAAATGGTGATGTCATCATCACCAGGCACATCTGACCCCGGCTGCTGATTGCCAGTGTTGAGTGCGAGTTAATAAATCCCCTGGTACCTGGATACACATTGGAGTTTTATTACAATGCAGGCATTCCACGATACCCTGGTAATTAAATAGTCTAGAGCAGAAAGAAACCAAGCCACTATTTTCTCCCATTTAGAGAAATTGTAAAATATAATTGTCTTTCAGATCAGCTTCCTGCAACCATCGTGTAAACCTGTGTTTTAACTGTAATGAAACATTAGGAGGAAAACTTGGATATAGGGAGAAATACGAGATAAAATTCAAGTGTGAGATTGGATCTGCTTCTTCAGGATTAGTACTTACAAAGCGGCTGCTAATTTTGTGCATGAGGGAAGAAGCCTGAGATCCCAAGGCAATGAGCTGATGGCTGAGGGACCTGATTGGGGCAGGGGAGTCTGTGACAGTTCCATGTGCGTCTGTTAACGCTGGTAGCCACCAAACCATCCCCATCAGTCTGTCAGGGTGGCCGCTGTTGTTCTGATACCCCGTTCCAGGAAAAGGGCTTAAATTGTTTTGTGATCTGGCTGGTGGAGGCTGAGGCCAGCCACTCTGTTGCCAGGCTGAGGAGGGGCTTTCAATGTAGGTAGTGAGGGAAAGCTTCAAACCAAGCCTGACAGTTAGGGCGCTCCACTTCCAAGAGGCAGAAATATTTTCATTTCTAAGGAAAGCTGCAGTTCTGGCATCTCCATGTGGACTCAGGTGTGGGGATCCCACCACATGCCTCTACTTCCCTGCCACCCCAGTGAGCTTATTGCTATGGGAATTTTGGGTGCTATTCTCTAGCAGAACAGCAGAGCATCCAGGTCTGAACCTTGTCTGAAGTCCTGAATAGGAGCAATATATATTGGTTATGAGGAGTGAATCTGCATTTTTACTCTTAGCACATTTCCAGACATAGCCACAAGATGAGACACAGTATTCATAGGGTTGCCACATCCCGATGACAGTAGCAGCATAACTACTCCAAAATTTATAGAGCCCATTGAATAGAGCAATTGAAGAAGTCACGTTGACAAAGCAAAGCCTTTGAAAGCAGGAGCAGGGCTGGGAACTTTCACACTGGAGAAAGCTTTCAAGTCGCACTTGTTTGGAGCTGACATCTGTTTACCTTTAGAGGTCTATAAATAATATTACCTTTCCTCTTTACTGACTACTGGAGATGATGCTTTGCTTCTGTTTAAGGACCCTCTCCTCCTCTATCTTGATATTGGAGTTGTCTGGCTGAGCTATTTGACATCATCATCATCACAGACATTTCCCCTATCTCTATAGCAACATATGATGATGCCACAAACAGAGGATTATGCAATCTGTGTAGGCTCAGATAGAAGGAGAGGCAGGACTGGGAGCTCTGATTTAAGCACAAATGTCTCTAATAACAGGGGAATACAGAAACTTGTTGGCAAAGGACATGTTTTTTTGTACAAACATTCTCGTTTTCCAAGTTTTGCTCTGGTGGGAAAGTCCCTCCTTGCAGTCCTTTTTATGTATGTATTATACATACACATTCTCACACAGATATGTGTATTTGTGTGCAAATGGATATATGCAAATGCAATACTGCTTGAGCATTGTGCAGGCAGCTCTCTACACACAAACTAATTCATTCAGGATTTACTGTGCTTCACTCATCCTCAGCATAAAGATGCCGTGGGTCTGCCTCTTCAACAGAGGACTGCCCTGGCAGACCCCACTGAATATACTTGTTCACGTCTGGGCACATTTGTGCCCTTTGCTAGACGGGATCAACAGCCTCCTCCTTCAGACCCACCCTGCCTTTTCTCTACTAGGTTTGTCCTGTGGTTAAAGCACAGGAGAAGCATGAGGGTAATTTCTAGTATCTGCTCTCCCAAAAGTTTTTTAGCAAAGCTTAAAGAAATGTCTTTGAAGTCTCAGTGCCTCAGTTTCTCCAGCACTAGGACAAATAAATCTCATTCACTCTTGCTTCTAAATGCTCCAGCTCTTTGGTGAAGAGGTCCATGGAGACTCTGGAGGACATGCTTGTGGGTGTTTCTTCTATGTTTATCTTATTTTTATTAAACATATAAATGCATCCTATCTAGCACATGTTGTCAGAATCAATAACTGTGCCTTGTTAACAGTTTTTCCATTTATGGCATATTGTCCTGACATAGCTGTAAAACCTCAATGAATATGGTTTTAATAATCCAATGGTATTTAACTTACAATCGCTGTCTTATTAAGTCTAAATTAAATCCTTACTTGAGACACTTAATTTAAAGTGTGACTGATCTTTTCCTGGCCTGGAAGGAGATACTTAAGTGACACTTCTTCCAATTTGGCCACATGGCTGAGGGGGTGGGATTTAAATAATGTATTTTGATGATACTACTCATCTGGTTAAAGCTGAATTGCATCATTTTATGAACACTCAGAGACAGGATCAAATTAAACCAAACTTCCCACCAAGTTAGCTCAGCTGAGCTTCGGAGCTTAGCACTGTATTCAAAACACACACTTATTGTAACTATCCACTCATCAGCATCTGCTTGGCTTTTCCAAAGGAAAAAATGAAGTACACCATGTTTTTCTACTCAGAGCCTCTTGTGGGGTGCCTTTTGAGTTGACAAAGACAAGGCTTACATTCTGCTGTGGGCACACTAATAAAATAAACCTAATAAAATAAACATTACATGCAATAACGATGCTACTAAATCTAAGTTCAATGTGTAGCTAAAGTGTTACCCACAGATCTATTTAGAGTGATGTGCCTGGACTTCTTTCCATCCTTTTCTAACCCAAAGTCACATAAACATTTGTTAAACTGAAAGCATCGTCAGGACTAATGAGAGCTCCATAAGCAACTTTGGCAGATGCAAAGCTGAGGAGGGTGCTCACAGATAAATGATGTGCTGTCATGTCTGCATGTCAAAGCCACCCCTGAAGAGTAGCTAGACCTTAAGGTCTGGAAGAAAATTTCTGAACAGAAGAGCTGGGCAAGACACTGGAAGCTGTCACATACTCTGCTGCTTTGCTTTGTGCTTGGGCCAACCAGTAATAGCTTGGATTAATGCAAGTTGTGTAGTTGAAGGTGCACCATAAACCATGATAACAGGACAACATCCTTTAGTACAGATGAATATAGGGTATTCAGGTTTATGTCTGGAAAGACTGTGCAGCCAAGTGACATGGGCTCTGCACTGAGTGGTGGGGTTTAGACTCTTGGCCTTTGACAGCACTGGTGGAAAGTTAGGCAGCATCCATATTATTGCAGCTTGCACCTCATATTCTAGCTGCATCCTAAGCTAGTCTCTCTGTATTTTTTGCTGAAAATAGACTCTGGAATATATTAGTTCATTTTCAGTGGAAGCTTGTTTCAGAAAAAAATATAGGAAAAAGAATCCTAGAGTTGCAGAAATCTTTTTATCTGCTAAATAAGCCTCTGTAGGTTTACCTGTTGTTGTGATGAATGATATGGCTCATCCCCCATGCTGGCTGCCACACTATGTCTGTTTGGGCTGTCACTGGAAGGATGTGGTGAATTGCTGGAGAAACACACCCTCAAGAGGTCGTCTGGACAGGCTGGTGATTTGTGCTTGCTTTCTAGCAAGCTTGGTGATGTTGCCCACTTTTAGAATAAACTTACCCTTTGCAGCACTTCAAGATCTTTCTTTATCAAAGCCACAGCTGCTGGATTTATGGGATTACACAAAAGTTTCTGCTGTCATTCAGAAAACCAATGGAAAATTGAAGTCCAAGTTATTTTAGGGGAAGGGTTCAAAGTGTGACCAAAACCAGAGGTCAGGTATGATAATGAGGATAACGTATGTGTATTCCTCCTTTAAGGACCTCAAAGTTATCTGTGAAGCATTGTCATGACTACTTTTGAGGCTTGATTCCATGATGTCAAGCGCTAAGAACTGGCAATACTGCTGCTGTATGCAAGTAAAGGGGCAGGACAAGGTCAGTTAATGGCAAGGGGCCTCACCATAAAGGGGGTAGGAGGTCTGCTTGCAAGGCAGCTGCCAGAGAATAATCAGGGCTGTCTCAGAATTAAAAGCTTTGGGGTTTTGCAATACCTTTTACTGGGTGCAATCTCACAAGGGGCTCAGGATAGAGAAATATTATTGATATATAATCCTCTGAAAACAGTTTGAAAGTGCAGTCTGTCCTGAAAGCAAGGAGAATGTGCGTTGTTTAACATCACCACCAGTAAAGTCTACACTGAGGGCAGTGTAACACTTCAAGTAAAAATATTTGTGTTTCTATTATGTCTTCCATCCAAGAACTTAACTGCTATTTGGTTCAGTTCAGTCTTGATGATTGATTTCTCCTGGATGCTGGGGTGAGAATTGTTTTAACAGTTTACAGATGGATAAACGAAACAGGGAGGTGTCCTGTGTATTGCCCAGCACTGTAAACTAAGCCACTGGCAGAACAATTGTATCCCTGTTTCATCCCAGTCAGGTCTGATGCTTCTTTTTTCCTTTAGTAAAAAATTTATCTTCCTACCTAGCATGTGTACACTTTAATAGCTGAATCACAGCAGTAGAAAATGACGAGGCTGAGGACACTGATGAAGACCTTTCACAGTGATATTTACTCTTCTTGTTCTAAATCTGGAACAAACCTTATTGCAGTAATTCCAGTTCTGTGAGATATATTAGCTTTACACAGTTGTCGTTGCTGCTATGCCTATGTATTTAACAGTTTTCTAAATAATTTACTGAAGCTCACAAGTTTTAAGAGCTTTTCCAGAATGAAAGAGAAAGGAAAGGACTGTGCTCACCCAGAGTGTTTTCTCTATACTTCTTTTGTCTATTATTAATTAGGAAGGGTTTCAAGTGATA